AAAAGCTGAGAATCTTTTCCAGTGATTTCAGAAAAAGAATAACTCTGGTTGTTTTGGTTTCAAATTTTCCATGGATAAGAAAAGTGGTAATCTATACACAAATATGTATTTATTTAGCAAAAATCTGGTTTCCCTCCCACCTTTAGTTGTTGTATAAATAAATTACCAGAAATAGTTGCTGTACCGTATTCATAAGTATAACCGACTAAAGCTTTCATTGGAATTCGACCAAATGTTCGCAGTGTATCCTATTACTTTCAGACAGGAAATAGGTAAACTAGTTCAGATAATAAAGCCAGGTCTAAATAAGACGAATTGATCCTAACTTTTTAAAACTCTTGTTACTTACGATAAGCATCTGATCTTACTCTGTTAAAATTTATAATTTGGTAGCGAACAAGCTATAATTACAAGTACAGATAAAATGGCTTTTAAGGGCGTCGTAAATAAGACCAATTGCAAGGTTGTACTCAAGTACTGTTCTTTGTATTATACCAGTCACTTGTAAATTATAGGAACCTGATCTCAGCTAATCAAGAAGAAACAGAAAACAGTTTACTACTTTTCCCTCCAACAATTTACTCTTCACTCTTCTGTCGAATAAATCACCCAACACAAGGCCGAAAATCGTATGTCTATTCTACCCACTACTTAGCATCTATGGTTATAAAATTTAAGTAGAAATTATTCATGATTACTCCCAAGCCAAAGTAAACAAGAATTAGAGAAGGTGTTGATAAAAACCAGCTACAGATACATCCTCCCCAAGCTTATAAAAGGTAATAATAGCTGGTACCTTTTAGTGAATACATTCAAAGTACGCTAAAAAGACCAAAAAGACTGAAAAATAGAAAAGATATCGTTATACTTCCAGCAGACAAAGGACACACTATGGTAGTCATGGACAAGGGAGACTATATCAACAAGGCGGAGGGTTTACTCGAAGACGAAAATGTATATCAACCACTTGAAACCAACCCTATCCAAAAGTTTGACAACCAGATCAATAAAACCTTGAACAAACTCTTCAAAGCAGAAGAAATAACAAAGCAAGACAAATGGTGTATGAAATCGAATGGACCCATCCTTCCTCGTCCTAAGGTAGACCAAAACTACAAACCAGATATCCCTCTATGACCAATAGTTTCACTTCAGGGAACTCTAACATACAACATATCAAGAGAACTTTCGGGAAAACTGAAACACCTCGTCCAATCATGTGGACATTCAATTCAATCACCAACAGAATTTCTAGAAAATATCAAAGGCATTAATATAGAGAACGAAGAATTAATGGTATCCTTCGATGTCACAGCACTATACACTTCTATTGAACCACAATTGGCCAGAGAAACTATGTCCCTCCTGCTCACTGAAGACACAAGCCTTTCAGAACGCACAAAACTCAAATATTCAAGTCTGATGGAACTCACCGAATTTTGCTTGACAATATACTTCCAATTCAATGGCAAGATATACAAACAGATGAAAGAAACTCCAATGAGGTCACTGATATCCGGCTAGTTGCAGAAGCAGCAATGCAGAGACTGGAAGCCATCATCCCACCTGTGATTAAACCGAAAATTTGGATTCCCTACTTAGACGACACTTTTCTTATCATTAAGAAGATGATATAGAAAACGCTCACAGTTTGATCAACAACGTTTCCAATGACATCGAATTCACAATTTAGGAAGAGTCAAACAACCAACTACCATTCCTGGATGTTTCAGTCAGTACGACAAATGCCGGGAAGCTGGAAACCCAAGAGTACAGAAGGTCAACACACAGTGATCAAACCCTCAACTACAATTGCAACAACCCAACAACGCACAAAATTAGTTGCTTGCGAACTCTATTCGAAAGAGCGAGAATACACTGCAGTACAACAACTTCACGTAGAAATGAAGAAAATTATCTGATGTCTATCCTAAAGAAGAACGGCTACCTGCGAAACTTTATTAGGAGATTATAGACATCCAGGTCATAGTTGTTACGAATATCCTGAAAGAAGTTGAGCTCTGAGTCGGGTTGACTCATTATATAGGTAAGTTTTAATATAATCCTAGTGGGTCTAGAAAATCAAAAACAAGATTTTTCCAAACATTTCGTTGTGTATGCCATATCTTCTTCAAAAGAATATTCGGGTTTTTGTTCAACATCAAAATATATACTGTCAAAGGTAGATGTAGAAATTTCTGTCTTTGTGTTATTGATTAGCTGTTTGTTGTTCAGACTGCTAGTTTCCAGTTAGTCATCGTAAATTCGTACAGTTTTTTATCATCAAAAACGACTCAATAATCAACGTGCATATGTGCCTGGGTATGTAAACTTTTTGTGGAAAATGTGTCATTCGTTGTTCATCATATAAAAATATGAAAAATATGTTTATATATCCACAATAATTGACACATATTGTTTCTTTGCTTTTGACAGTATATATTTTGATGTTAAATAAAAACCCGAATACTCTTCAAAAGAAGCTGTGGCATACACAGTGAAACGTTCAGAAAAATCTTGTTTTCGATTCTCTAAACCCGCTGGGATTGTATTAAAACTTACTTACAGAATTTATTAGGAGATGCCTATCCCGTACAACATCATCTATAAAAATCAACAAAAGCATCACCCTACCATACATAAAGAATAAATCAGAAATCACGATAAGATTGCTGAGACCACTTGGAATTGGTGTGGCTCATAAACCAACAAATTCTCTCCAAACACTACACAGACCAAAGGATGTAACAAGCAAAGAAGACAAACCAAATATCATTTACAAAATCAATTGCAATAACTGTAGTCAATACTACATTGGACAGAGTGGCCGCCCTCTTTGCCTCCGTCTACAAGAACACGAATTGGTTATTATACGTCAAGATATTTCATCACTCATTTCAATGAACGTGGATAATTATGGACATGAATTCAATTTCGACAATTTAGAAATTTTGAACAGAGGAAACAGAGAATGTCAGAGGATTTCTGGAAGCTTGGCATTCAGGTCAATCAGGCAGCAATCAACAGATGTATGGACATAGACCCAATTTATCAACCAGTGAGAAAAATGATAAACGACAGAAAGGTTAGAGGTCACGCAGAGGAATAGCCAACAAAAAAAGTCTATACAGTCAGTGACACAACAATCAAAGTGAACAACCAATCACAAACCAGTTGGGTCAGGATAAGCTACCAAATCACTCACGGAGAGACATTGACAGCTCACTTCATACTGATGATGTCGTCTAGCAAGACGATGAAGGCTCCACGACTAAACAACCCAGCTAGGAGAACACAATGCAACCAAAACCATCCACCTGAGCTACAAATATTTCCCACCATTTCAAAGGCAAAGTCAATAAAGCCACAAGCAAACATAACTTGATGAATATAAATAAATTCAAGGTGGTAGTGGTATGCAAGCAATATAACCATAGTGTATAATATGAAAGTGAAATGTTAACATGTAGACATCTCGTTCATTCGCCCAGACTCACAGAAAACGATTAAGTAAAACGCAGATAAATGACATGTAGTTATAATACTTATTTTAGTAATTAATTATAACTCATCTCGGTAACAAACTTCAATAATTTTGCTAAGTATGATATCAGGCTTCGACTTATTTGATGATTATCGTCTGAATACACTTGTGTCTCAATCGCGTCCACAACTGTTATGGCTGGAAATTGTCTATGCCATCTACCACTCTTAAACACCCTAGAGTAAGCTATTATAGCTGTGAGTAACAGGAAGCACTTTTTTATTGCAGACCCACGATATGGCTAGCTATTTCGCTTTTTCAATTCGCCGGTCAGTATACGCCATTCAACTGTTACCTTGCAGATGTTTGAATGATGTCGTTAATTTCTGTTCAGTTTTTAGGTTCATTCATATGCCTACATTGCTCTAATCTCTGTATGCTTTTTTCAGTGATTTCCAAGCAATGGTTATGATTCTAAATATCCTTAAGGAGCCAATATACAACCATAGCCTAGTAAAATGTTATGCTACATATGAAAAAAGGAATGCGAAATAGTTTGAAATCTATTTTAAGCTGAGAATAAGTTAGTCGTTTTGATCATAACTTCGTAGTATCGGTGGATCAAAGTGAAAATGTCAGTCACTGAATTACAGTCAGATGTTTTTAAACAGCTAAATACTTACGTTAACCCTTGAGGGCGTGAGAATCAATCTTGTTAAAAATCCAGAATGCTAACAGCTGGACAGTCCGAAACCAGTTAGGAACCCGCTCTTAGGTGTACTTCAGTTTTGAGTAGTCATTAAGGAATCGTTCTCAGTTTGAGATGGAAACTAAATCAAATGAAAATCCGTTCCAATTCCAATAATCTGCTACAAGGTTTTCTGATAAACGTTAGTGACAATCCTAACTAAATGTGATGGTTTGTTTTGTTGTGAAAAATCAGTCTAAAACATTTAATGTCCAAATAGACAATCCTTGCTAGGTTATGTAAGATGACATATGCATCCAGAATCAAAACTGATTGTACATTTGAAAGAAATTGAAGATAATGGAACACTTCATGAACATAACCCAACTGAATGAATAAATGATCACTTTTAAAAGGTTAGGAAGGTTATTAAGGTGATATTTTATGTCCTGGAGGACAGTAAAACTTTATTATTCTGTCTCGTTTGTCCATTGGTGCTCTAACTGTATGACTGACAATCATTTAATAACCACCGCATTCCAGGTTTCAACTCTGAAGATGCACTCATGTTCTAGCCATACAGAGAAAACTCTCAATTGTGCTGGTATTATAGCAACCAGTTATCTTCAAGCCACCATTTCGGAGTTTTGATGCCACAGATTTTGTGCAAAATTTGTTTGAGGATAAATATTAACCTACAGATTTTCATTATTTATCTTTAAAATATGCTTATTCATACAAAACAGAGAAGTTCATATTCATATTATTACTCCGTTTACAGCTTTCCTATAACAAACTTATAATGACGAACAGAATCTTCCATTAAATTCAATAGTCACATTTCAAACTCAAAAGGCTACTCACAGGTGAATCACTTAGGTTACTTTGAATAATAAGCCTATTTTGTTCTTGAACATCTTGCTTCATTTTGACTTTATCCTGTTCATACTTATGATCAACACTTCTGTCTTCGTCACCACTCCGCAATCTTCGTATGTGTATATTCTCTTCTCTAACACTGTGACTTTCCTCCTTTCTGGTTTTACTAGTTGCTTCATCGCCTTTAGAATTTTCGTCCTTTTCTTTCTGTTCACTAGTTTGTCTTATATAAAAACAAGCAATAAAAAACAGGTAACGAAAATAAAGGAACTCATTTTATGCCATACACGTACAGTAAGCCAAAACAAGCATTTTCATTTATTTTTAAAAAGCCACATTCCTAATTAAATCCGAACTGGATTTCTTCACAGTTACATTTGTAGGTGCTGTTAATGAGCGGTTTCCATCAGGAATAAACCCTTGGGAGACAGGATTATGTACGTGACATTTTTCCAAGGTTATGCAAAGACCTTGATGTTTAACACAAACAAAAACCACAGAATCCAAGCACAGAACTTCCTTCTTATTATTTCTGAAGGTTTAAAGCCGAATGGCTTGAAACTAGTGAACATTAAGGCATATGTAATTCATCCCATGAAAAAAAAATGATTATATACGTAATCGTTTCCAAATGAATCGACCGATTTGAACACTTAGCGTTCATTTCACTATCGTAAATATATCTGACGCCGAAACTTTACTGAAATCCTGAAGGTAAATTCCTTACTTGGTCGATGGATTAAAACACTTTTTTCAAGTGGTTTTATTTAGCTACTGAGTTAAATAGTAAGTAAACTCAAGTTTTCTAGTGAATATCTGCTTAGAATTTGTCGACTACTTTGAAGATATTTCAAGAAATTTTATTTTTTATGTAAATAGTAAGAGACTGTCATTGTATCTTGCATACTAAATATAATAAGAACAGAAAAATACTTTTCCGTTTGACATCCAGTTTCTTTTACAATTCTTTTCTGATATTTCTGAATTTCAGCTTCTTGCTCTTTCACCTCCTTCCTAATTGAAAAAAGAATGTCGGTATAAAGTATTTTGGTATCAGTTAAAGTTTGTTAGGTAAGTTACAGTGTAAATATCTTCGGATATTCAATTCAGACTCATCAGAATCGTGCACACTTTTGTAAACTGTGAATCTAAAGTGGTGAATTGTACCTATAGCCTATGATGTCAGTGTCGAAGTACGTGTTCCTTGAATGGCATTGTCTAAGTGTAGGACTTTCCAATGAAACTCAGATCATTAATTTTAATGTCATTTGAAAATTTCGAGAATCGAGACACTTATTGTCCCCCGTAAAAGTTAATACAAAAGTGTAGCCAGAAACCCATAACTATAAAGGAATATATTTGTACAATTCCAGTAAGGAAGAAAAATAAACTTTAGACTTTTCAAAACCTTGTGAAAGCCGCTTTTTCAGGAAATAAAACTTGTACAAGCTATCGCATGTTTAAACAGTAAGTGGAGATCGATTAGATCACATTTTTCATGCATGAAAACAATATGAGAACAATTGTTATATTCATGATGAATAGTGACTAGCACTGGAATCCAAAACGCACGTTTCATCCAATTTGAGACTCATCGGCTTAATGTATCTGCCTACTAGTGGGCAATATTGTTCCTACTAAGACTCAACAACACGACAATACAAGTAACAACATAAATGTTATAGTTATTAGTTTTAGTCCGCGAGTTCAAGGTAATGATGTGAACGGGTTCGTTGAAAAATTTCATGGATGAGAAATTCAGTTTGTTTGTTTGAATGAACTGTAGTTATGATTAGTGTGTGCAAAGTGTTACTTTTAACGTACCGTCCGAGTAGGTCGAATAGTTAGGCTTTCCTTTATGTTGAGTGCATCAAGATTCAACATAGTATTGAGCACTCCAGCTATCCGCCTTCCTTTATAGTTTGAAAATTCTTGCTGAACAACTAATATTTTCAATACCAATAATGCGACTACGAAAAATGGTATGAAAAGCAGTTGCCGATTTGATTTCTAGACTTTCCAGTTTTACAGGATTACTTTGAGGTCTTTTTGTATATCTTGCAGGTTCCTAAGTAAAATTGAGGATTTTGTCGGATGATTCTCTAATTTAATAAGCAATACAATCGACACTGTTTAACCTGTAAACATAATTCTATTAGGAGGTAAAAGGAATCCTATCCTTCAAGTGATCTAAAGCATTCCTGACAGTGTTGGTTATCTTTTAGAAGACTCTAGTTTGGTATTTTCTTAAGAATTCTTTGTAAAGGTCCACTGTCCTTTACGGAACGATAAAACTACTGTTCTAATCCAGGACTCATGATTTCCCCTATGGATTCTTATGCTCATGGTTTTTAATTTTCTGAATGATTTTCTCGGCGTAGTTGTCACAATGTAACACTTATTTCTTATTCCGGTTAATCTGTTGTCTTCACTAGGGACGAACTTTCTGGCCCTCCTGAACAAGTTCCAAGCAAGCGAAAGTTTAGGACTGAGTGGATATGCTAAGCTAAAATCAAGATGCTTTTAACAATCCATTTACTCAATACTACCAGGTCAAATTTCGATCCTGAAATCCATGGAAATTCCTACTGTTTAAAAATATAAATTCGGCGGTTGACTGAATTCTTAGGAAATGCTGGAATGCAAACAAAGCTATATTCAAATCTGGTTACTTTTATATTACACTAAGCCCACTCACCGACACACTGAAGCTGTTTATATTAAAATATACTTAGAAGTTTTGAAGAGTAACAACCTTACTAGTTAAATTTAGCTACACTGGTTATTTAAGGTGTACAAGTATTTAACATTTTAAGCTCCAACCTCTAAGTTGAATCTCTCGACGACCAATCTGCAGATCTATCAAAAAATTGTTATTTTCCTTTTTGGTGGTCTTGTCTTCGCTGAGCTGGATTGTATAATCACGTTCATCCTCATGAACATCAATTACCAGTGAAGCATCATGACATGTCTTCGCTCGAATCAATGCATAGTGACGACTGTGGACTGGGAAAATGCGGAAATCTTGGATAGAAAAGGATTTTTATAAGTTTGGTGCTCAAGTTGGTCAATGATTAAAATACTTAATGACCCATTCTACCAAACAATAAGAAATACAACAAACAAAAAGAAGGTTAAAGTTCAATTCAGGAATATAGACAATGGAAATAGCAAGGTTTTATCAGCAACCTAAGGTCATTAAGAAAAGATTTATTATTATTATTACCATTACCATTACTATCTGTCCCCTGAGTTCCTAGTGAAGCGTAGGGCTTCAGTAGCACGTCTCCATTCCACTCTGTTCTCTGCAATCTCTTGAACCTATCTCCACGACTGCCCACAAGCTCTCATTTCTTCCTAACACGATCTCCTTCATGTCACCCTCGCCTCAGAAGGCCAACTAGTCGTTTACCACCTGCGTTCCACTTGAGGGACTGGTGCGTATGTCCCCGAATGGTCTTCCCAGTGCATACCCAATCTATCTCCGCTTCCTTCTGTATATTTGTTCAGCGATAGGTTCTTGGTTGGTCCGTTGCTAGGGTTCCTATTTGCTTATTCTTACTACTCTGGCCGTCTGAGCTTCAGTAACGAGCCAGCGCAGGCAGTTGTTGATGAATATCTGCAGCTTGCTGGAAATGCTTTTCGTAACGCACCAAGTCTCTAAACTATCACATAGAAGCACTGACTTGATTGACATTAGTGTTGAAAATCCGGATCTTGTTCAGCATGCTGAGTGGACTGCAGAAGATCTCCACACTGGTTTCAGGTTAATGAGTGCCTGTCTTGCTTTTCGATCCTGGCTTTGGCGTCCTGGTCTGTGCCGCCTGTATTTGAAACGATGCTGTCTAGATAGGTGAAAGGGGCTAATTCTTTTAAGTTTCGCCTGTTAAGAAAAGATACTAAGTCAATTATTGAAAATATTTCGTAGCTTGCTTATTTGTGAAGTCTATGTTGATGATCTTGTCTAGAATGACAATAAAAGCTTGACAATTAAATCATTCAGCTCAGAGAATACACTATTAAAATAATCCTAGTGAGCTGCTAACACTGTCTTCCTGTAAACCAATAAAATTGTGACCTGCTTGTGCAAACAGAAAGAAATCGGTTAAGTGGATTTATTATTCTCACCAAAGGACAGTTTCATCATGAAGATGCAGATATAAATTTTCCATCCAATGAATAAGATTTCGTTCATGGTTAATGTGAGTAACAAAGTTATCAGAAGTTAGAAGGTACTTGCCACCTGTCCCATATTAGGCTAGCACACCTCAAAGCTGCTACTTTGATTGTTATTCATCTTTTATACATTCTTATCGATCTTTTGTTTGAAATTTTAGTAATACCATTTCCGTAATACATATTTTTTTGTCACAAATATGAATTTTATCGCTAAACTTTAAGACGTTTTCAACTTACAGGATTTGTTCATACTGAGTTTTCATTTTCTCGTTTGCATCCGACAGGGTCTTGTTTAAATGTTGCAAATTCTCAATTTGTGTTTTAGCTGCAGCTAATTCTTTGATAGTTTTTTCATCTTGTCGAACAATTACTGATACCTTTGGTTTTTCATTTGCCACCTTCTGAGATACTGGCAAAAATTTGAGAGTTACAATTACTTCAAAGTATTTTAAATCAGCTTTTCATAACAAAACGTTATTCAATCATCGCTTTTATGAGCTGGTTTTACCAGTAGTAACCATTAAAAGTGGATAAGTGATGCATAAGTTTTTTATTGAGCTGGCAGTTGTAGTTTTCGGCGCGGCGCATGAGTTAGCATTTCAAGCCGGTGAACTGCAAATAAGTAGTCAAGACTGTAAACTTTGCCTTACTGGTAACAAAACACAAATAATTTGCAAATGTTTTGTCCATTAGTATCTAGCAGTATAGTATCTAGTAGTATCATATAGTATCTACAGCTAATAAGCCATAATTTCACAACAACACCTTAGAGAGACTTTTCTAGAGAAGTCATCTGTGAGTATCTAGAGATAATCCTTGCTAGGTAGTTTTCAGAATTATTTGAGAAATGTGAGAATGGCCTTCATGAAATTTTGATGACATTAAAACGAGTTGGTAATATTTCACATTTCTTAAGTTGACGGAGTGATGAGATTGCTGTATACCGGGAAATTGAAGTAAGGATGAAACTAGGTAAAATTGATGATATTAATTCTCTTTTGGTATTCATGACCAATATTTAGCGCAATTATGCGTATACTTGATGGAATACAGCTTTGTAGTAAAAGTGAACACGTGTTGTTCTACTTAGAGAATTTTTAACACTAGTATTATTTAAGTTTTTTCGTTTTGCCTGATAATCTACTTATAACACGGCTTGTAGATTACTTCAAACTACATAAAAAAACTAGCAAAATACAAAGATGAACCATAACGAAATACTTTATGAAAAGGAGTGAAATGTGTATTGAAAAATTGCTTTAAATTCAGCAACAGAGGCTTTATACAACATGCATAGATTATGGGAATTATATTATGATGATTAACATTTTCCACAAATACGAACTAGCAGCAACTATCTCCGGTAACTTAAGAAGCTAAAAAAGCTAATTCTATCTTCAAAATGATTCTAGAGGAAACCTTTAAGTTAAAAAGTGCGTCTAAAATGTGTAGGAAATGTTTAGTCAATTAAATTTGTTGTGTGAATCATCGAGATAAACTTATACTCGAAGTACCGAAAGCAAACTGTTGGGAAAGAACAACAAAAAAGTTATTCGTATGGTAAGAGAACTGCACAATACTCCCAATAAAGAGACAAGCAGTAGATCGTGAGGGAAAACAGACAGACGTTATCGTTCTACACCACTTATTGAACAAATCTGGACATCTCTTCTACGAACTGCTTAAAATAATCTGAAACAAATACTTCTGAGTTTACTGACGTAAACTGTAGCTGCATTCTAACTATGCAAATTTTGAAAAACCTTCTCAACTGGAGCTACCAAAATGCAGAATAATTACCCTGAACACACAAAGTAGCTTACTACTATTAGTAGGTGATTTCAAAATATTGGGTCTCTTAATGGATTCGGTGGTGAGAACCTGACAACTAATGCATGATATACCAGTGACCCAGAATGCAAAATGTATGATCTAATGATATCCTGTAAAATGTTTTAGAAATCCACTGAGAAAAGCAGTAGTTCATTATATAAAATAATAGCAGATAAGCTGATTTGGTAGTTTATATAAAGCCAAATTAAGCAATGGTTTACCTGTCATCGCTTCGTTATTGCAAAAGCTTCATTAAATTTATAGATGGATAATATTTAGTGAAACTGTTACTTCTATGTGACTTTAGGCGCACTGCTACTAATAGGCAGTTGTCCAGGAAAACATTCACTGTAGTGGTCTTACTTTACTTTTAAAGCACACAAAACAATGATAACTAGTTAATCAATCAACATTTCATATCCCGTCAGAGCTCAACTTTCCTTATCCTCAAACCTTTCAGGTAAAATTTATCCGAATGACTCGTTACATTAGGCGTTTAGTCCAAGCTATTTCCCAAACAAAGTTTAAAAACTAGGTCAAAGTACTTAGAACTTCACAATAAACGGGTATCTACTAACCAGTAACAGTGGTAAACATCCTAACTGTTAATGGAGATCTAAGCCTTCTTTCAGATTGATTGGTCACATCTGCCTTATTAGACTGATACTGCTTGACAGTAAAATCTGACTACAAATACTGTATTACACGTAAAATATCACAATCTAGTGTAAAAAAGTAGTATGAGTAAGCTTTAAAACAAAGAAAGATTAGGTAGAAATCCTACCCTCCAAGCGTGAATTGAATGGAAGGTTGGAGAAAATAGAAAGTCTTCAGCCATTCACCAGACTATACGTAATAGATAGACAGTTTGTAACCAGTTCATTCTCGAATCGTGCTCGTCTCAGAATTTAACTGGGTCAGAAATTCAAGCGAAAGTATTTTTTTTAGGGATAAAATACTGTTATTATGATAAATAGAAGACTCTTTCCTCTTATTTTCGACTAGACTTAATAAAAAGTAATTGTAAATCGATATAAGTCATTTTGAGTTGTTCTCTTGTAGTTAAATAAATTTCTTTTTTAGCTAAAAACTTTCACTAACTATAATAAAACTTAGGGTGTATACAAAAGAACTTAAGAGTTTAAACTGCAGAAAACCGAATTTCAAAGATGAAAGGCAATGAATCTTTATGAAGTCTGATATACTGTAGTGAAAACAGATTAAGAATGTCACCTAAAATGAATTTTAAGGTCGCTCTTGTTCAAGTATGCTGTTAACATACTTGATTTCAAACGAACAAAATGTTCGTTGGGTGTTTTAAACCATTAGGACCTGACTGATGAAATCCACATTTCAGTGTGGTTGGATTCGACCTTTCTGTAGTGTATTTGGTTAGTTAATGACACTTTTGAGCCTAAGTTCTGTCTTTCAATGGGAAATCTAATTAAAACCGCTGGGCAGTTGAAAAACTACTCAGCTGTCATAAATGTCAACTTGAACCGTACAATGCCGTTATTAGTTCACAAATTTAACATTCTATTTAAAATCATTTTTTGTACTTCCAATTCGCCAAAAGTTTATTTTTCATCTTTTGTTGGAAAACACAGGGGAACTACTAAAATGTTTGGAAATATATAAACAGAAGAAACCTGCCTGTACTTTCGACAATGGTTGCAACCAGATAGTCATCTGCAGACTTTGTAGATTTTTCAACCTTTTGTGTGAAATCATAAGCGAATTAGATATAAAGCAAACATAGAACATACCTGTGGATTACGCTCTTCTTCAGACGCACGGTAAGGAGCTAAGATCACAAATAAGAAAAAAACAATGCATGAAAAATTGATGACGGCATTTTTCCTTGTCAAAGGTTTTTCAATTTGGCAAATAAATAAGTAAAATAAATCACATAACCCTGAAGTGACCAAGTGTTTCATTTTTATGATCAGTTAGAATCCGTTCAATCTTAATTTTTTATATCTTTCATTAGTATATGATTGAAAATTATTGACAAAGGTATAGGGACCTAGACAAGAGTGAAAAAACTTTCACAAAGATCTAGGTGACTACATACTACAACACTACTGAGAAGAACAATCAGCAAGAGCAAAAATATGAATACAAAATGAACTGATGAAAAGGATTTAGTTATTTTAAATTTTCAAGATAAGAAAATGAATCTGACATCATTGTGTTCGGTGTTCAACAACCTTACCAACGAACCTTAACATCCTAATCAGAAAGTCTACAGCTTCGTTTATGGTTCACAATATCATTCAGTAGTTCTATCGATTTGATCTCTTGCCCTAATTTAATTTCTCTTGAATCCTCTTCAAGCCAATCTACCTGAAATCATCGTAGTACATACAAAAAGGTGAGATACACCAAACTCTGAATGGCACTCACGAAACAACAACTGAATTTCCTTTGAAAGCATATAAAATTTGACAGTCAAATATGGTTTATTGAGTGTGTATGAAGGAGAGCCTCTATATGTGCATTATAACAAGTCAACTTCCAGATTCATTTTCTTAGTGGTGGTTCATATGTCATTATTTATATTACTTTTCATTTATTTTGAGCTATTTACTACTGAAAGCATCATTTCCGATTTTGAAATTTTATATCGCAAAACAGTCTGTTCATGAAAGTAAGTTGTCGTAAGTAGCCATCGCGTATACTATCCTTGTATGCTACATCTCAATTTCTAGGATCAGATTATTTGTTGAAATTGCAGTCTTCATCGTTTTGTGTTCTTCATTGATCAATGCTCTCTAACAAATCCCAATTAGAACAGATATACTAAGACAAATTGTTGGTATTTTATAAGAAAATATACAGTAATTTCTGACTCCATCGAATTCCCAATAAAATATTCCGGATAAAAGTAATCAGCGTATCTTCTGTATAGCCGTCAGAAACATCAGAAAAGTACAACTGCTGAAAGAAGTAGAGTTTTTCGATTCCATCGGTGAAAAGCAAGACTGTAAGACACACTCTAGGCATAGAAACAGATTCAGTAACTGAACATTTCTAATCTTCAGTGTTTTACACTACTTTTTTCGCGTACTGATTAAGTTGTTCATACACACCGAGTCAAACCATAGTTAAACGACTTTAGTCATAATCCAACCTAGAAAAATATCTAACCACTTTCAAGTGTCATGAGTTAATGAATAAAAACAACCCTAAAGAAAGAAGACGACAGAAAAACTATAGAAGTTTATATAAAGTAGTAAGAATGATGTTAAAGATAACTTTCTGAACAGGAATAAATCTCTACAAACTTCTGGAAGTAAGAACTTTTATAGAATGACGCTGAACAACCTTCGCTACTACATGAAAAAAATGCAACCTATTATGCTTAAAATGATCTAGAAACAGACAGGCCATGTAGTGCTAGTCACTTCAAAATTACTAGCAAATAAAGCGATTTTGGTAGAAATGAGAAAAAGTTTATTAATTTCTTAACTTGGTATCTCACTAGCCACAAATAAAAATAGTAACAAGCAGGAAACATTTTATCCTTTAAACAAAGCTGTACTTACTGATATCTTCCTTCATATCACTTGACAAACATTTGTACAATTTTTGTATTTTGTTCACTAAGCAATGGTTCTTTGCAATAAGCTCTTGTTTTTGCTGGTCCAACTCTTTTATCACCTTTCCTAGGGTTCGAAGTCGACCATTCAACTCATTGTTCTCACCCGTACAACTTCTTCTAGATTTTATCGATGGCTTTTCTTTCTTTGAACACTGTTCTAAAGTTAAAATATGAATCTGTTCTTTCAGTCGTTGAATTTCCGAATATGCAACTTCAAGTTGTATCCGCATCTCTTCAGTTCGTGTAAACTTCATATCTGTTACTAAATTGCTTCACAATGCATAAAAATAAAATTAACGATAATGTTTGGAATCTACAAATAACTCGGAGTGTTTTTAACTCCTCTCTTTTTGGTACCTAAAGAAGATCTAATTAGATGAAATCCTATTCAAAAAGAATTCCTTCTGGTTTTCTGTCGAGAAATTCGTCTGAAAAATTGAAGTGAACATTTTTGTTTTGGAAATCCACTACATCGAATTACAAACAATTTATGATAAGTATAAATGATACTATGCTTGAACATCTCTGATATACTACTGGAGCAACAAACGGAAATCCATAGAAGTGAATTAAGAACACAAGGGAACTGTACAAATTATATATCTACAGATACAAACTTGTTTTAGCTACTTAAACTTAGACAAGCCTTGAATTACTGTCTAGTAAACAAAACTTACTTGATGAAATCAACCTCGTTACTGACCGCTTTGAGGTGAAAAAACACTTATGGTGTACTTTATACGTCAAGAACACCGTTTTCCGAAAGATGTTCGTCAGATGACCTTAAGAACAGAATTTCTTAAAGTAATTAGCGTATTTCCTTATAGAATTATCAAGTGAATAATCGTTGGAAAGCGTGGTAATTGATGATTTTATGCTTCCGCTTTCAAAAACGTCAATGATGTATACCCTCTACTGTGTAAATGTCTACCATAAAATCTGAAAGTTTATGTTACATACCACTGAGACATGATTAAATCAGGAATAAGTGCATATTTGATGCCCTCTTGTCCCCCTGACACTCCAAACGTTGACATATCACAAAATATAAGTTCAATAAAAACAAAATCTCCGAACTATCAGTTGAACAAGCAAAGAATATCATTTAAAGTGCATGGAATCATTTCATTTCTCATTTCAATACTTATTCTAAATCATCCTTTATGCTGAAACACATGGCTCACTATTACTAAATGAGCAAATTACTTAGTAAATTTAAAAGATTTAATATAAGTCCTTGGTCATCTTACTTGTATTGAGCGTCTTTTTCCTGCAACTGAGTTTCCAGCTTGAAAAGCTTTTGATGTAGTGAGCGGATATTTCTCAGCAAGCTCTGCTTGCTACCACCTGTATTTTGCATCATCTTTGAATTCTGTTATCATTAGAAAGTACTAGTGGTGGTGCTTCTTACCTCCATGGGATTAATTAGTTTCGTTAACTCATTATCCTTCTTAGCTAAATTTTCCTTCAAAAGACGACACTGTGAATTCAAGTCTTTATTTTGTGTAGCCAGCAAAGCGATTTTCTGGAAAAAGAATGCAAAATATTCTTAGGTTAAATACAACTGTCATTATAAATATTGGAACAAAAGTGTTTAAAACCTGAAGGCAAACTGTTGGATACAACTGACGCAGATTCTATGCCTATTAGGTCCAATCATATGACATGACATCAGTTCACAAAGTTACTAGTTGGTTTCGGTCAGATTTGAAGATGGTTAACTCAGAGGGTCGGATATCGTTGGCAATTGGAATACATGAATGCATATGGTAGAAGATTTAGATCAAGGACAATATTAATGACGCCAACGCATAGACATACTAACTTAATCCAAAAATTTTTATAAGATAATTTGATCCACTTAATTTGGTTTTTGTTTTAACTTCTAGCCCGTATTAGTTGCTGATATTAGTACTTCCATTATTTTATCCAGCCACTAGTTGAATTCCACCTCGATATGTTGGTATCTCGTGGGGGGACCTAGAAAGACACAAGCTTATGCGAAATTCTGTGTCAATGATGTCTATCTTTCATCATCTGAAGCTTTAGGGAGATTTCTGCAAGCCTTTCAGTTTTTGAATCATGTTATTCAACAACACAGCCGCAGATAGTATTAGAGCCTATCTGACTGTGCACTACAACTTCATACCACCCTATGAAGTAGCATTACCTCATCGTTTAACCAACGAAACTAGTAATCCCTAACAAAACGACCTACTCGGTTGTATTGTGTTCTCTGAGCTCAAATATTCTCCATTATTTCAAAACGACTAACATTTGAATTTTTCACGAAACCAGAATTCTAAATAGAATATAATGTTATGTTGGTGATACTGTCAGACAACACAAATAAGGGGAAGACTGGTGGAAATAATGAAGTGTATTCAACACTGGATTTTTAGATTTAATACCTTAGGTCTGGTAATCTCTAAGAGATGAAGCTTCCTTCCAGAAGGCCAGTATTTCATTCAGAACTAAGGTTCATTTTCTTAGAGTGCTAAGCAGTTTTCACAATATACAAAACGAACAAAAGAAGAAATAGTAGAATTGGAATGAATTTCAAAAAGAGAAAAAGTAGCAAGGTTGTCGTTTGACAAGAGTTGGATTAGTAGAAAGTGAATACAGAAGTAACAAGATGCAGTCAGTAGAAAGCTTTACGTTTAATAGTCTTATTTCAGTGGAACAACTTGTTCGTGTAACCTAAGCTTGGTAGCAGTCAAAGTCACCTTATTTGTAATTGTTCAGTGGGTTGCAAAACATTTCAGTGAATAACCACAGTTACCATTGAAATCTTAACTCAGTGTACCGTAAAAATCCACTTTAAAAGTCAGTTTTTCTTCTACAAGATACTGTAGGAGTGATTATTTCTTGTTTATACACCGCGGAACTCTTTATTTTGATGATGTCTTTTCTTAGCCAGTATTCTTTGGGGGTGATTTTTGCAGAAATGAAATGAATGAAGCTTGTTAGTCAAATTTACATTTGTTTTTTAATTTACATTGAAGCATTTGCAACGCTGACTACTGAGTGTGCAATGGCAATATCCTGCTACATACTGAAATATACAACAAATGTTGTGAGTTATTAGATATGCTATTGTTATTTTCACCTCATCGATGCACTGATGGTTGCATATGAATGAAGCAGATGCTGAGGTTGGCTTTTCATTTTCTAATCTATCCATTAGCAAGTTATATGATTAAAGTAAGTGAAAATGGAATGGAAATGAAATTTAACATGATTTCGACTTAAATTTCATCTCATCCGCTAAACTGGTACTCATGGTTACAAACTTTATAGTTTCTTAGTCATAGTGCAAACGCAGGTGACAGTTATTTCCTTATACAGATGCACGCAAACATTTAGAGAATTTCTGAAATTAGGTAACATTTTCAAAAAGGCTATAAAGTATTCCCGTAACATTATTCCTGAGAGCATTTTGAAAAATCATAAGACTGAAGAAACTCTTAAACTGATTGACCACTGGACAGTGACCGACTTTGTGTTGTCTAGTCCTGAGCACCAACAGAATTTTGTCAATTGTTCTGGAATGTAGCCATTAAGCTAGAAGACTCACCATGGCAGTGACATTTTATCAAGTTAGTTGGTTGGAAGCGACTTTTATGAAGTTCTCAACCTTCAAGATGTCAGTCACAGCTTTAATACCTCAGTAGTAACATCTTTGGTCAGAGCAATGAGTGATGTGGATTTAAATCTCACAGTGAAGATCAGTTCCCTCTAGGCCGCAGGTACGCCTCAATAACGAGTACTAACAAGCACTGAATTTAGGTCCATAGCTTCCTGCCGAATGCTTACAAGCAACTGACATCGAGCCACTTTTGGTTTCATAGATTACTCCCTATCAGATACAAACAATAAATGAGGTTTATGATGGTGATCGAAATTTAGAGTTGGAAAAGCGATACTTACTTCGTCTTTCTCAAGTTTGAAATCTAAATTTACTTATCACGGTTAGATGTCTTCAAAATACATAATAATAAATGTACTAAGCAACTCTGATAGAAAAATAACTTTTGAAACGCTGGACTGCATCTAAAACTTCCCTTATATAGATTCAAATGTAACTATGTATTTTGTTACACCGAACCGCAGTAAAAAGTATTAACTTTTCAAGTATTACGAAATTTTCAAAACGTACGAAACGTCACACCATCAGAAATGAAAGTGATTTCATCTACATTAATTGTCCAAGATAAATAATTCAGCTTTGCAACAGACTGTACAAATGTCTGTAGGAAGAAACTAGCCATTGTTAAAATGAAAAGTGTTCCACCTTTCAGTAATATGAATTCATCCAGATTTGTTAAACAAAGAGTCTGTCGTTTAGTTATACTGTCACTTGAATATAAAATTATTGGCAAGTGTCTTCCACCACCCTAAATTGATCTTAATACCGAAAATACCGCCGAATATTGTTATTTGTTGGTGCTTGTGATCCTTCGTTGTTATACTGGATCGAGTTTATCGACCTCTGTTGGTGTATGGGGTCCTGTACGGATATTACTTGAATGTTTATTGTTATAAATGACTTGGTTGTGGATAACAGTAGAATGCGCGACGTGTATCTCGTCCTTGTGAGTGGTGTTGCTCCCACTGAGACCCGAACTTCGTACCCTTCGTCTCACTGATGCTGGCGCATCCAGCTGACGAATCCGAAGTAGGACGAAACGTGCATTTTGTATCCCACTGCTAACCACAACCAAGTCAGTCGTAACTGCCGAAATACGTTTTAGAAATTCTAGTAATCAATGGACTTCCATTTTATTACTAACGTCCCGGGTGAACAATTGTAATATGTGAATGTCCTATCTCAATACTGCTATTGATGTTAATATTACTGAACACAAGGCTATTAGGCACCATGTTTAATTAACTGGATATATAGAGAGAGTTACGCTGGCACAACATCTAAACTTATATTACCGTAAGGATGAAGTCCGACTGCTTAACCAGTTCTCTGAAAACGCTTGAGCGGACTTTTACACTACTATAAACTAGCAAAATATTGAGCTTTTTGGCACTACAATTTTTCTGAATATCGAAGAAGTAATCACTCCATAAAATTGATTTTGTCAAATAATTGAATTAATTTTCATTCTTTCCACACTTATTTAACAAACACCACTCTACCCATCGAGGTTTGAACAACCATGTAGTATCATTAACCTGCACACAATAGGTGTGTTGCATTGCCAACTGCACAAATTCGCACAAGCTTGCTGAGTGTACGAATATCACTTCCTGTTAAGTATTTTACCATTTATTTCTCCCTCATACGTAGTACAGAACCACACAAAGTTAGCCCGAAATGGATGTAGCAAATGGTGTTAAAATATTTTGAGTAAGACGAAAAGAGCAAGCCCAACTTTCAATGAAACTCATTCTGAGAGAATGAAAATCACTTGGAAGTTTCTAACTGTGTGAAAAGCAAATGGCTTTACTTATCAGATAAAAGCTACATGTAGGTTAGAAAAATAAGCTGTTGAATCATCCCTGTCTTCAAAACACAACAAGCTTTATAAAAACTGAAATCATTATTGTTATTAACATACTAATATCAGCATTACAGTAACAGATTCTAAGCATTAACCTTCTTCTGTCTAGACTTACCAGGATGAATGAAATTGCAACCAACATAACCTGTAGGAGGCTAGTGGCGTATGTTGTAAGCAAATTGCCCAAGTTTCCATAACATACCAAGAAAAGATAACGCTTGTGAATCTCGCTTCATATTTCATAAATATGTTAGTCTGAATCACTGCACCATCATGAAAGTAATTACTGTACAAGATTAAGTAGTGTACTAGCCATTATCATGCGAAATCAGCAGACTAAGGACTTAGTAACTCTTAAGCAAGAAAGATAATGGGTATATACTTTGACCAGCTCTTATGACGGTGACCGATACTTTTCAACAACAAACAAAAGCGAATTAATTTTGAATTTATACGGTATAACACTAAGAGTTAATGACATTGAACTTGTTCCTCGTTGATGATAGAAAACAAATGGAAAAGTTAACTTACTTCTAGATAAAGAAGTGTCAATTTACAAGAACTGAAGAGCTAAACTTCATGATGCAGACTAAAATAAAAATGTGACCACAAAAATTCGAAACAGTACATTAAAATCAAAGAGGACAAATGCTTTAAACTTCAGAACACACTATATCTCACTTTGTGATTGGAAGACACGTCATAAAAAAGCATGTTAACAAGTATAGATGTGTTTGCATTTAATATTTTATGTTGCTGTGCTAAACTCGAAAGACTGTTTTAGCTGTAAAGATGCACTCATATTTTATTGACTTCATAATTCAAACAATTTACTATTCTTCGGTAAGTTATCCTCTTACATCCTTTATCTTTATTTATATTTTATTTAATTATGCGTTTTTTTCTTTTACAGTCTTTCTACTGTTGGAAAGTATGACAACCTGAAATGATACATCTGAGATCGAAGTTCTGCGTTACCATATTTGTTCAACGTTCTCTTAGTCTGCTTCCTATTAGGTAAGAAGTATACTAGTGGGATTCACGTTACAAACAAGTATCAGAATGGCCGTTTTATTATTTTTATCTAATCAGCTTCAATATTGCACGCTTCGTAAGCAATTCAACCTGAACTGCGTTATAAATAGGGACGATTGTACCATCACAAATCTATTTGTGTAAAAGCCGAAGAACAATTTAAATAGTGATTTTATTGATCAATTAGGACATGTACTGGGTGAGTTGGTAACTAAGTGGCAACCTCTTTGGGGGACTGGACGGTCAACCAAGAAACTTCAATCAGCTCTGCATGATGCTTCTTCAAACAATCGTGCTCCCGAAAGAGTAAAAAGATTGTCCTCCGTGTATAAACCATGAATCTGAAGTTTACTACAAAGGAAAAAACGTATGGATGTTTTGTCGTTCACCTTAGTTCTTCTAAAGCAAAGAAGCATGACGGAGAAACCCAAAATTGATATGTCGTTGTTGGTCCTGAATATGCTTTGGTCCAAGTCTTGCTCAGGCTGGAGTGCATCACTTATAGGTTATTTTACTGCATGAACTATAGAAATAAAACGTATCATGATGTCCGTGCACTAATTTAAGAGTCATAAACTAAATGGTTAATGGAAGGAGATAAGGACTAAGAGGAGGCCACAGCCAGATGCCTTGCTAAGGTCTTTAGCTGGAAGCCTTTGATGAACATGAATTCAACAGTAGAAACACTGACACACAGGAGAATTAATTCTGTGTACATCGACTGCAATGATGTATTTAAGATATTAAGTACTCTAGATGTAGAAAAATCAACAGGACCAAATGAGCTGTACTCGAGGCTCCTCATACAGCTTGCACTTTATGTAACTGGTCCATTGACCACGATATTTCGACTGTCGGTCACTGGGCGCACACTCTCATAACTTGAAAACCACCGTAGTCATATCTATCTACAAGAGAGGTTCTAGGCAGCACCCATCAAAGTGCAGGTCGATAAGCTTGACTTGTACTGGTGCTAAAATCCTAGAAGGACTTATTAAGAGAGCCATTAAGGTTCATCTAGAAAGCAACACTGTTGCCCTATTTGCAACATAGCCTTGGCAGCAGTATAGCTTGCTTGACAAACCTCACAACCGGAGAAATTCGAGGTAAATCTAAGGATGATGAGATGTATGTCGATGTCATTTTCATAGACTTTAGTTAGGTGTTTGATGAGGTATCTGATTCGAAGTTGCTCATTAAACTAAAAGTTATCGGAGTAACTGGCAACCCACTGGCATGGGTCCAAAGGTTACTCATTGACAGGAGGTAAACAGTTAGGATCAACTTCTGGCCCTCTTCTTGGGAGCTGATACAAAGTGAAGTGCCACAAGACAGTTCTGGGTCCCCTACAGTTTCTCCTGTACATAAATTATCTGCAAATGTCACGAAGTACCCGTGGTTCTCTACGCTGATGATGCAAAAATAGGGCGATAAATTAGGGGGGATTAAGAGAGACCTAGAGAATTTGTTAGTCTAGTCAGAGAAATGACAGTTGCTTATTGACAAAGGTAAGTGCACGAGCACGCATGTGAGACATAGAGACAGTAACACCAACGATATCGGCAGGACCCTTTTTCCCTCAGCATTGATCCAAAATGACACAGGAGTCACAGTAAGTTGCGGTTTGAAAAACACAGCCCACTGGAGATTGACAGCAGCCTGGGGTTTTAAGAAACTTGAGATCATGCATTGACCCACAAGCAATAACTTTGGGAATAAAACCTCCTCTCTCCCACCCCAGCTTGAGGTGTAATCTAATCATGAGATAAAGGATTTTAAGAAATGACTTTGCAACTTAGGTTGAAACACCACAGACGGCATAATAGGAGGGCAAAAGTGCAAACACCTAATTTAATCTTCATGGAGTACCGGTTTCTGCGTAGAATAATCAACACTTAGAACAGACTCCCAGAGGAAGTGGTATCCGCATCATGAATCTACTTGTTCAGTAGAGGATTAGATAAACACAGAGATCTAGTGGAAAGGGATTATTGCAGACTCACAGCATTCCATCCTCAAATTTTGAATTTGAAAAGTAAGTCTAAAGTAAATTCGAACCTGCAAACTAACTGGAATTTTGACGTAATTTTAAAAAATACACGACCTAGTACAAGTGAATGTATGTGTGAGTTATTATTCTTCACATAAAGAGAGAAGAAAAAATTAGGAAAAGGATGGTGAAAGGTGCTAGGAAGTGAAGACATTTATAATTTCAATCATATAGTCTGACAATTCAGTGACTGCATCACTTGACAGTACGTCTCTAGTAAAATAGTTAAAGGTGAAAGAAGTGCAAATAGGATCCAGTACATCCTGAATTTATAGGGCATCTATACAACCAGCTATTGCCATTGTCAGCCAAATACTAAAATCTCGCTAATGAGATTTAGTAGTAATGATAATAAAAGTGATAAAAATAATAGTATTAAACTATGAAGAGCTGTCGAATGATGAACTGACCGTATTACCTACCTCTTACTCGATCATTATTAGATTTATCTCGTCCATAAATTCATGCATAACTTTATAAGCAATAGAAACTTTAGAAAAAAGTCTGAAATGCTGTTTTTCAAAAAACAACAAAAGCGCTACGTACTCAAAGATTCATCCCATTGTAATGTAACAATCTACTCCTAATTCGAGTCATGTATAGGAATATTTGTGTGTATGACTTGCATTTGGAGTAAATCCTCTTGTATCATCAACTATTCAACCGATTAAATTTCACAAGTTAGTGGAATTGAATCAACACAAGCGAATCACTGGTAAATCAGATTTTTCTCACAAAATAACATACTCGCTTGAGAATGACAATCTCATCCACGTAGTCTTCATGATTTTTAACTTTTGAGACTTCTTTGCCTTTCCCGGAAACTGTGTTCCTCAATAAATTATCCAGTTCTTTTGAGGGATTTCTATCTGTCGTATTTATATCCTTTCCTTAAAAAAATAAAGATAAATCCTTCGCCATACTATTATGCCTTTCATTTTTAGTTGACGGTGAAAAGCTTCGGAGTGACAATCTCCACAAAGCATTGTCTTCCATCTATGCCAGATTATTTTTAATGAACCTGGTCATTTCCAAGTGCTTATGATGCGCGGTGTTTGTGTAGCGTATAACGAAGCAAAAATGTTCAATAGCCAATGTTTTGTTGCAACGGAAAACTAAATGATTTCTTCACGCTCGCTTCTAGATTTTGCGGAGCAGCTCTGCATCCCTGCTGGACTCCAGTGAAGTAGGTCTACCCACTCGCCTACTGTAACTTTGGTTAGCTCAACGGGCGGTTAAGTGTTTAACTAAATTTGTAAGGATTGTGTTGTTTTTTCAAGGTATGTGTTGCAGATGGGTTCCTCAAGTGTCGTCCCACCAGACAGTTGGTAAGACTAGTTGTGACACCAAGGTGGAGGAAATGCCCAGAGAAACCAAGGGGAAGTAAGTGCGAAGAAATAGAGGCAGAAAGATAACGATAAGGTGAAGGAAAGCTGGACGGGAGAAGAAACCTAGGTAGGTTCATGGGAGAAGTGATAGGAAGAGCCTTCATCAAACAATTTTAGAAGTGCAAGTAACATTACGGGACGGCTTAACTGATAAGAGATAGTAATACTATTGGGAGGAGATCGTAGCTGGAGATTTCTTCGGGGAAGTATAAGATTGAGCCAGGTTCGCGACGATAACGCGTTACAAGAGATTCAGTAATGGGTTGGCCGAGCAGAATTGTGAGGAGTTAGTGGATTATATCAAGTTAGTTCATATCCCAGCTGGATGAGCGGAAACCATGCTTCACTGTATAAGCGTCCCAACCTCTTCTGGAAGCTGTCAGCAGATGAGGGAGTAGCACTCTGGGCAGGCAGTGCATTCAAGTGACCACAGCCTGGTGGAGAGGAGTGTGAACGCACTAGGGTTTTTGCCTTTTAATGGGCGATTCTTTTCGGGTTACCAAAGGGAAAGCCACAGTGGCCGTTCGGTAGGATTCTACTGTTCAGATGTTTCGGATTACTCATTGTTTTGAAAGCCGTGACCTGCCGTGACTAGGGACCAATAGATAAATTGGTCTCCCGTTTAACCTTTCGCTCAGAATATTTATGCCACTATGATTGTTGGGAAGGTTTGGACGGTTCGTCTTTTTAAGGCTCCTGACTAGCAGGTAAGTTAATTATGAAGATGCTCCAGAAACCACTAAAGATGGGGGGCAGTCCAATAATTCTTGGAGTCAAACAGCAGGTATTACTTCCACTAGGTTGATATGTTCGGGCTGAAATTCAGCACCAAATGTCCTCATCGAACTGTTGCTGAAAATGTAAAAAGAATGAAGTACGAGCAGATATAAAAAAGGGAACTATTACGCAGTCCAGCTTGGAAAAGAGAGAAGTTCCCATACACTTTGACCTATTCCAGCTTTATGTGCATTTACATGTATGGATGTATGACTACATGGGTTTTTCATTATAAGGTTCTTAGGAAATTTCTGTATCTGGGGTTTTGCAGTAGCTTTGAGGGGAAACCAGTGTACACTAAGTTCATTATAGCGAGGAGAGGAACCAGTACTCCTGCCCTTGTAAGCAATCGTAAACCCACAGTGTAAGGGGAGCACGAGGACTATGATAACTCTGTCCCATACACTTAGAGGTCCAAGTATATCCCCACTAGCCAGGATGCATAGATGGTGGCCAACTGAGCGACAGATTCATTGTTTATTGGTAGCCTACTAAGTAAAGAGCGGAAAAGTGTTAGCGAACTTGCCGTACGGGTTTCTTCTGGAAGCCTATTCCAAATGTGCGCGAATTTATCGAGGAAGAAGTTCTCTCAGGATCATCGTACAACACTCACTTTCAATCAACACTTCATGGCTACGCATATTCTATTATAATTGGCTTGATTTGCGGATTAGCATAGTGAAAGTGCTGATGAAGTAACTCAACAAAATATGAGGCTTAGTTTAAGTCTTCTCTTCCAGAGTGGTTCCAATCCAAGCGTGTCACGTCTAGACGTGTAGTCTAGGCTGGAGTCAGCTCCTAATGTTCTGGAGGCGAAGTACCGCTGTGTTCCTTCGACGTTCAGTTCATCGCTTCTACGAAGGCCACTGAGAGTAAACAGGCAATAGTCTAAAAGTGGGTGAATGCACACTTTATAAAGTAGAACCCGTCATTCAGTGCTATAGAAGTTACAAATGATATATCCCAAGAGTTTGTGTGACTTGGATCTAATATATGCTGTCTGTTCGGAGAATGCCAAGTCTCTGGAATATCTGATGCCAAGATCTAGCATAGAGGATAGTCTAGGCAGCTGTTTTCCGCATACCTCAAGGGGCAGATCATGGTTGTTATTGATATGGTAAACCAACCGCATTTATAATTTTTGAATTCAAAGTGGGGCTCAGCACATCATGGCACAAGTTTGCCTATTTCCTGTCGGGTAAAATCCAGAGTATTACGTAGTTCATGAGAGTGACAAGTGCACACAACCTTCAAGTCATCGGTGCATAGGAATGTTGTAAATAAATAAATAAATATTTTATTCTTACCTTAAAAAAGTCTAACGTGAGAAGAGCAAGTCTACGGGCTTCATCACGTTGATACATCTCAAAATATCTACAAGAATTGGGCCCTGAGTGGTAGTGGCGGAATGTCATTAAAATTAAAAACCGCCGGAGGTCCTGCTGGTTATGAAACGAACAAGGAAGTATTACTTAACAGCGCACATAGAGTGTTAAAGTTTGGATAACAATAAATATTGCCTTCGTTTAAAGGAACCACGCCTGGTTAACTAGTTCACTAGTTACTAGCTGGTCCTAAACCCGGGCAAAGAGGGAAGGTCAGGCATACGGATAGCAACCCTATCCCGGAAAACCAATCTAACCGCTGATGAGACTTCGAAGCACAAACAAAATATAAAACATAAAAACAATATTATTCCTCACTGGAATCGCACAGGCGAAAAGCCACCTGTTGATGAAAGCCTTCGGGAAGCACATTGGCCGATGTGTCTTCTCTCCCTCGATGAAAGCGAAAGTAAACGTGTGGACATGGGATGTCAGCATCGTGTTTGAACCCAGCAAGGCAGCCCAGATTGCAGACGAGATGAGAAGGTATCGCATTAAAGTGTTAGGGATTTGCGAAAGCAGATGGAATGGGAGTGAACTCTGCAAACCGTCAACTGAAGAATCAATAATCTACTCCGATATTGTCACACAGACGACAACCATGAGCACACTGAGTTTTCGAGTGGCTATCATGATGTCCTCAAGAGCATCGAAGGCTCTCATGAAGTGGGAACCAACCTCCTCCAGCATCAGAATCATGACAGCAAGGTTCAACTCAAAATGAAGGAAAGTCACAATCGTACAATGCCACGCTGCACACCCACAAATAATTAAGCGGATCAAGAGAAGAAGGAGGAATTCTACAGACAGCTGCAATCAACACTGGACAAGACACCACTCAAGTTGGCGACATTAAAATTCCAATGAGCGACATGAATGCCAAACTCGGAGCGGACAACACAGGAAGAGAACAAACCATGGGTCGAGAAGCACTCGGTGAGTTGATGAACGAGAATGGAGAATTGTTTGCAGAATTCTGTGCATTCAACCATTTGGTGATTGCAGTGACGCAGTGTGTTCAAGCACAAGGGTATCCACAAAGCAATATGGATTTCACCAGATGGACACACTAAACATCAGGTCGACTTTATCTCAATCTCGAAAAAGTGGAGACACAGTCAGCCTACTTGATACAGGGTCAAGAAGAGGAGCAGATGTAGGCTCAGACCACTATCTAGTACAAGAAACTTTCCAAATCAACTTAAAAGCCTTCAAGGAAGCTGGTGATGATAGACCACAGTTGAAGTACAACACTCGGAAACTGAAGGACGAAACTACAAACAACATCTTCACAGCAGCCACCAAGACAAAATGGGAGATATCGAGTAACATCCCTGAAGAAAGCTGGGTGGAAGAACACTGGAAGTCTTTGAAAGAGATGTGGAAAGAAACCTGCATAACCGTATTAGGAAGGAAGAAGAGAGAAGATAAGGAATGGATCTCGATGGACACATGAAAGCTGATAGAGGAGGGAGAGGAGGATGGTGAAGCGGGAGATAAACCAGTGTAAGGATGCGCAACGAGAAGAGGAACTGAGCACAATGTATAAAACACTACACTGGACAAAAAAGTTAAGAATAGTGCGCGCAAAGACGAAAGACACTTCCACGACACATTGGCAAGTGAAGCAGAACAGACTGCTGGTAGGAGAGATAGAGACCTGACAGCATTGTATCAAATAACCAAGTAACTATCAGGGAAGAGATCAACACACATGAAACCAATAAAAGATGATGAAGGAAATTTAATTACCAAAGAAAAGAAAGAAACGAAACGATGGACCAACCACTTCAAAAAGCTCTTGAATCGACCACCACCACCACCACCTGCACTTCGTACAGAAATACCACCTACAGCCACAGAACTACAAGTGAACATAAATCCTCCAACAAGAGTGAAAGTCCTGAATGCCATAAAGTTATTCAAATGCGGTAAAGCAGCAGGTCCAGATGGAATCCCGTCAGAAGCACTGAGAACAGACGCAGAGACAACAGGGGACATGCTCACACCACTATTACTGAAGGTGTGGAAGGAAGGGAAAGTGCCTGCCAACTGATTGGAAGAAGGGCTACCTTGTCAAACTCCTTAAGTGTTTGCAAGAACTGGAGCGGAATCACGCTGCTGTCCACCCAGGGCAAGCAAAATATTAAGTCGCATCATCCTGGAGAGATTGGAGGATGCTCTGAATTCAAAACTACGACCGGGACAGGCAGACTTCAGGACGTACAAATCATGAGCGGACCGAATTTGTGACGCTACGCATCATCATCACAGAACAGATTATGGAATGGCAGTCAACCCTCTACCTCAACTTCATCGACTTTGAAAAGGCCTTCGACAGCGTCGACCGAGAGGTAATTTGGAAACTGCTACAACATTACGGAATACCACAAACCTTTATCGGCCTCATTCAACAACTATATGAAGACGCCACATGCCAAGTAAT